ACTTGTAATAACTTACAAGGACTCCTGATACGCTGAGGCTAACCACCTGATGGTAAAGCAGTATCTGGGTTATAAACGGATGAGCGAAAGATAAGGACTATATCAAAAATGGCTTAGGGACCGATATAGTTCTCCCTTAAATTCTGGCTCTTCGTTCAATTTTTTAAGAAGCAAGCGATATGAACCGCCAAGTGGTTGTTTCGGGCAATGTATATTTTTTATAAGATATAAAAAAATATATAGCGAATCATATCAAATTTATTTTTTTTAATTTGTTAGTTTGAATTTATTTTGTAATAAGAATTTTTAAGTATTTTATTAAAAAATAAAAACGTAGTAAGAAAAAATTAATATTTTGTTTTTAAAAAATTTTTTTTTTTTGACTCAAGAGAAAATAAAAAATATAAGACTAAATTAATAATTTTTTTGATTAATTTTATTTAAAAAATTAAAATAAATCGCCAAAGTTATCGTTTTGATAAATTATTGTATCATTATATAATATAGAAAAACTTTCAACATTTTTGTTTAAAATAATAATTCTATCTGCATCTATATAGTTTTGAATATTCGTTAAATCATTTGTTTTAATTATAAACGAATAATTTTTTAATTCAACTTGCACAAGTGTAAGTTGTCGATTTGAAGTTCCTTTTGTAATATGAATTTTTAAATCTTTTTTACTTAATGTAAAATAAAATATATAATTTTCGACAGAATGATAAATATAATAAGACATTTTGGTTAAGTTTTAATTTCACAATTTTTTTTTTTTTACTCAGAGAAATAAAAATTATAAAAGCTCATTTTATAGATTTTTTTATTAACAAAAAATGAATTGGCAAGAAAAATTCAAAGATTTCGAAATCCTGACTGATTGGGAAAAATATAAGAATCCTGAAAAACCAAGACTCAAATTAAACGAATATTACCTCGTGAAAATTAATTTCACTATCTATTTAGAAATCAAAACTCAAAAACCAGAAATCACATTCCTATTTGATAAGGAAAATTTTCATCTATTGAAAAATTATACTTGGTATTGTCATAAAAATAAAAATATATATTATATCTGTACAGAATATAAAGAAAAAATTTTAAAAATTTATCGATTGATTCGACCTGAATGGAAAATGATTGATCATATTAATCATTGTGGACTTGATAACCGTGAAATTAATTTACGAGAGACAACACCAAGAGAAAACCGACTAAATTGTAAATTAAGTAAAAATAATACATCGGGTTATAATGGAATTTATTTTGACAAATTTAATAATAGTTGGAAATTCAATTGGGCTGAGAATAACAAACTTAAAGTTAAACAGTTTCATATAACAAAAACAAGAACTTTTGAACAAGCCAAACAACAAGTGATAGATTTTAAATTGAAACATGACCAAATTACAGGAAATTTAAACGGAAAACAAATAAAATTTTAATTTTATATATTTATTAAAATTAATTTTAAATATATTTAAATTAGATATAATAAAAAATATAAATAATAAACTATTTAAAATTTTCTCATTCTTTATCTTTTTCAAATTTAATTGGATTATCATCATCATCATCGCTTTCACTTTCTTCTTCCAATTCTTCATTCTTCATTTTTAAAATTTTTTCAACATTTCGAAAAATTGCTTTATTTTTTTTACGATTGTAACCGAAAATAGTTTTATCTTTCCAAATAGAAAATTGCATCATATTATAGAAATTAAATATAACTACATCGTTGTAAAATATTTTATAGTTATAAAGATCATTCGAAAGCATAAAACAGAAGATCCCATCAACATTAGCACCTTTATCTCTATCTTCATATTTGTCACCATAAAAATATCGAAATTTATAACCATTCAGAACATTAACAATTTTATTATCTTTAATGAATAATACACGAATATTTCCAGCTTGCCATTTTTCAAATACGATTCTTACTGCATCAATTTTGTTTTTGAAAATACGACGATCTTCTTCTGCAGATTTTTTTAAAGAGATAGTTCCAGATTTAGACATATTGCTAAAACTTATTAAATAAAAATTAATTTTAAATAAAATATTTCAATAAGTAAAAGAAACAATACTTACATGTAAGAATGGTATCGAAAATTATTTTCCATTTTAATTTAAAAACGTATCTTTTATAAATTTTATTTATTTGTAAGTAAAGTAAAAATGATCTTTTATAGTTTTATTTATACAACTAAATTCCGATTATTATTAAACGAGTTAGAATCTAAATTTAGATTTATAGTACACAGTATACTAATTTAATTAAGAAGTTTATATAATGTTCAAAAGATTGCACAGTTTTGATAATGATTACTAATTTAAATTCATAGAATATAAATAAATTCGTACAACATATTTTTAAAGTAATAACGTCATGTGATTAACATGCGATTGTTTTCATCCATTTATTCAATTGTTTTGATTTTGTTGCTCTTTTAGATACACCGTAAGGATAAAAATATGCAAAACGATCACTTTCGATAAAAAATACGAAACTCCGAAAATGTAATTTTCGGAAAGATGAAATGTCGCCTTCGGCAAAAAATCTGAAAATTTTCTTGATGTATTAGTAAATTTACTAATTATAAAAATCTTCAAAATGTCGCTTTCGGTATTTTTTCCTAAAGAAATGTCACCTTCAATATTTTTTCCTAAAAATCGTGACTGTTAGCCAATAAAATTGTCTATAAAATGTAGATCATCCATGATTACCCAATCGAAGATCTTTATTCTGGTACCCAATTGACAAAATGTCACCCTCTAAGGGAGAAATTATAGGGGTATCTAAATATAGTAATTTTTAACTAGTATGATTATGTAACACTGGCCGTAATCATACTAGTTAAAAATTAGTAGTTTAAAAATTAATATTCTTTAATTACAATTCTGTAAGGTATCAAATCTTACAAATTTAAGTTTAATTTATATTTTATATATATTTAACTAATTATATATTTATAATTATATCTTTGAAAAGTCAAATTCTTCTATCTGTTTTTACATTTCAGCAATTTTATTAGTATATGCTATATTTCTTTCATTAATTTTTGCAATATTGCATTTATGTTTATCCTCTCGTTGTTTCTATATTTTTCCAATATTAATCTGATCTTGTTCAGAAAATTCTATGAAGCTTCCTGCTCATCTAATAGTATTTAACATTTCTAAAAGACCATCATTATTATATAAAATTGCAAGTACATGTTGTATTAAAAAAGATTTGCTAAAATCTACCTTTTTATCAGCATAATTTAGTTTAATACGATTAAATGATTCATTCATACTAGTTCGAATAGTAGTTATTAGACTTTGCTTTGGGGGAAGTTTTGTATTTTTTTTAAAAAATTCTTTAAAATCATTTACTTGATTTTGAGTATATTCAATTAAATTTGGATTAACTAATTAAATTTCTGGATTTTTAACTTTTTAGCAAATTTCAGACCAACAATTTTGGTGTTTATCAAAAAAATAATCTGTGCATATTTCACTTTGTATTAAATACAAATCATTATCAGTTGGAGATTCAATATCAGGATTTTGGTATCTTGCAATAGCAGCATAGACACTTTTAGTATAAAAATCTATTATTGGTTGTTCAAATTGTTTTCATCTTTTTTTATTAACTAATATTAAGATAAGTTAATAATTTAATTATTTAATTAACAATACTAAATATATAATTATATTAATTACCTATTTTATTTCTTAAAATTTTTGATTTATATTTTAAATCTGCAAAAATTTTATGAATTACTTTCTCTCTAGCAAGTGTTTTATTAGTACTTAAATCACTATCAACAGCAACATCTAATAAAATATTATATTCACAAAGAGTAGATGTAATTTTACTAATTATATTTATAAGATTTGCATATTCTATTTGTCGGCTACTACTATCATGATTGCCCGCATTAATAACTACTTTTTTTTTATTTTTATTAATATAAATTCGGGGTTTTTCTACTACACTAAATCCAATAATCAGTTTGTGTTAAAATCCTAATTACAAAAATTAAATTAATTTACAGTATTTATATTAATTTAAAATTAAAATTTTAAAATTATAAAATTACCTTCAGGTATTCTGTTATAGATAAATTCAATACTTGCCTGAGGAGCTTCTCGAACTTTACTCTATAAACAATCAAATTCTACTTCTAAAATTTCATTTTTTTTTTTTTAAAATAACTTTCTTACAAGCAATATATAATGCATTATTTGCACTAGCTTCAGCTGTATTTTTAATTTCATTAAAAAATTTTTCTTTATTTTGAAAATATTAAGATTTTTTACTTTGGCGTGTTATTCTATATAAGCATAGCATAGTTGACCATTTTTTGTGATTAACTCTATCAGCTAATCCTGCGGCAGCTATAATATCTAAAAAGTTTATACCCAGAATTTCATTTCCATAAAATGATTTTGTTTGACAACAATAACAGATAACAATAATTTTTATAGATAATCTGTTCACTCTTATTTTAAAGTCTTTTTTTTTATATACAATTAAAATATTTTTGATTTAATATATATATAAGAAATAATTCAGTTCTTATAAAAATACTCGATCCTAATTTTTCTTTAGTAATAAGATGTTGTATGAGTTCTTTTAAAGTTTTTGTTATTTTTTCTGATTCGTTATCACTATTCAAATAAATTTCTTTATCACTAATAAAATAAATAATAGTTAAAATATTTATAATACAGTATAAATATTTTTAATTACTTGTATCTTGATAAATTAGATTCATTTTCTAATAGTTCTTGCAATATTAAAATTTTTGCTTGTGCCTGGGATAACTTTTTATGTATATTTTGTAAATTTGAAGTAGTACTTTTTAATTTTTAACTAAGTTGTTATACAATTGATTGCGCAGTTTCTAGTCTTCAGATTCAAGAAGTATTGCTTTTCTTTTTAATGATTTATTATCAGATTTGGCTAATCATTTTTCTAAATTTATAGTATATAATGTTTCTTTTTCTTCTAGATAAAATTATTTTTCTTTATCAAAAATATATAAAAAATGAATTTCAATAAAACTATGTAACCATTGAACATTTTCAGTATTTGTAAATCCTAATAAAAATAGTAATGATATTTGTCCTTTGTATTGTAAATTTTGTGAATTATTAATATAAGATAAAAAAAAATTTTGATTTTTAAATAGCAAAAGTAATTGTGTCATATTAGTAAAAGATGAATCAAGACCAAATTCTGCCTATTTATATAAAATAATTTTTTTAATAGAACACTAATATAATTGTACTAAACAATAAATTCTTCCAAAAAACATAAAAATGTGATAACCTGGAATTAAAGGAACTAAACTTTTTTTTTCAATATCGCTATCAATCTCAGGTATATATAATCTAATATATATGGGATTTTGTTCTTGAAGTACATTTCTATAAACCTATATTTAGGCAAAATTAATAACTGAGAAATATCACGAACTAAAACTGAATGAATACTATGAGAAATTTTAGTCTGATAATTATTTTGACTTATAAGTTGTTTCGCCTAATTTTTATTTTGTAATAAAAAATACATATTATAATTAGTATTCTAAAAATAAATTTATATAATAAAAATTGTTTGCTTCTAACTAATACTTTAAAAAAATATAAATACTATAGGATTTTATGATAAAACTATGCTAATAAAGAGTCAATATTACACCTATTAAGTTTTAATAAATAGAGATATGTA